TGATTTCAAAGCTAAATTTCTTTGCCACTATTCAAGGTGTATATGAAATGCCATAATACACACTCACATGAAGAACAATACAGATTCATAATAAAGTGACATTGTTTCTGTTTGTAGGATACCTGGAAAATTTTATGTAAGGGTGGTACTGTATTTTGAATCCATAGGATTATAAGGAAATAATAGCAGAAAATCTGTTGTTTTCCATTGCACAGATAAGGCAAGTGAGGCTGACAGTGGTTATATCTGCTGAAAACTGTACAATTAATAAGAGGAAAAGTTGGAATTTGAATTAAGGACTATTTAATTTTATAGGCTAAATTCTTAACCAGTACAATGTGCTATACATAGTAGGTGGAAGATATGAATAAAAGCGTGAAGCATTATTGGGCAATGATAAACAATTCCACTTGATTGAAATTTGAGATGAGTATAATGAAATAAAAAGAAAGGCCCAAAAAGAGTTTGACCATAAAAGCTTGAAGACAGATTAAAGAGTTTGAACATTGTTTATGTGTCCTGGGAAATAGAGCTTTATGAGAAGGGAAGAGACATTGTGTTAGTCACTTTTCATTGCTGTGACAAAATATCTGACATAATTTAAAAGGAGTAAAGTTGTATTTTAGCTCATAGTTTCAGTCCATGGTCAGCTGCTTTTAGGCCTGTGGGAAGGCAGAGACATCATAGCAGAAGAAAAGCCCTCATGACAGCCAGGATGCAGTAAGAGAGAGAGAGAGGCAGAGGGAGAGAAGGAGGGAAAGAGGGAGAGAGGGAGGGAGAGAGAGATAGAGAGAGAGAGAGAGAGAGACAGAGAGAGACAGAGAGAGAGACAGAGAGAGAACGCCCCAAGAGACAGGGCTGGGAACAATACATACTCTTCAAATGGCACCTGGCCAGTGACTTGCTTCCTCTCCCTGGGCCCACATCCTCAGCCCATTCAGCTATGAACTCGCCAGTGGATTAATCCATTGATGAGGTTAGGGCCCTCATGATCTAATCACCTCCCCAACACCCATCATCTGGCAGTCACAAGCCTCTGGCACATGGCCTTTGAGAGACATTCCAGATCGAAACCTCAATAGACATAAACAGATTTTATTTTTTTAAGAAAGAAAGAACTTGAGGAAGCTCACAGTATGACTGGGTTTAATAATTGCAGGATCATTAACAAAAATAGAAAAGAAGTGAAATGTTGATCTAAGTAATGTTTATAGTTGTTAGCCAAGTATGTGATGGTTTATAGTACTTTGCTGTATCATTGTTGATGGTCAAACCATTAATGAATCGTAAACTGGTGGAGGAGATGCCTCTGATCATTTTATCCACGTTTTTGTGGACAGCACTGATGGAGCATTGTGTAGATGCTTTTGTTAGATTAAGATTTTAGACTTCTCAAGATTTATTTTTCACTGAGAGAATCTGAAGAAGAAAAAAGTCACTGTAATCATCACCTTTTAATACTGATTAGAGAAACATGTATTTATGAAAATACGAGCTGCTATGTACCAAATTACAGAAGATTTCACTGGCTGTCACAGATGGCAAAATGTTCTGAGGGGTATCATCATGTAGCAGAAACATTAAAAATATACCTCTTCTTTTAAGCTGCATCTACATCAGCTTGGCTTTTCTCTATATTGTGTTTTGTAGGATATTGTGCCAAACAACTTGGGTCACATAATAGTGGTTAAGCACAACTAAGGTCTACATTCTGGAATAAGTCTGGCAGTCCAACTTCATGCTTCTTTTTTTGCCACTTACCAGCTGTGTGACCTTGGCATTTATTTGACATCTCTGTGCTTTAGTTTCCTCATTTATAAAAGGATATTTTGCGGATTAAAATAATTAATGAAAAATAGTCCTGTGACATTAAAAATTGCTTAAGTTAAGTTCTTAATATACTGATTTCCATAATGGTTTTACTAGTTTATATTCCCACCAACAAGGTAGGAGGGTTTCTTTTTCACCACAGCCTCACTAGCATTTGTTATTCTTTGACTTTTTAATAACTGTCCTTCTTTCTGGTATAACATGAAATCTTAGCATTAATCTAATTTGCATTTCTGTAATGGCCAGAGATAATGAACATTTTTTTGTACATCTGTTGGCCATTTGTACTTCCTGTGAGAAGTATCTGTTAATTTCACTTGCCCATTTCTTGATAGGGTCTTTTATTTTGGGTAATATAATTTTTTAGTTTTTTATATAGTCTAGATATTAGTCCTCTGTTTTTTAGAATAGCTGGCAAAACTTCTTTTCCCATTCTGTAGGTTATCTTTTCACTCTGTTAATTGTTTTCTTGGCTGTGTTGAAGTTTTTAAATTTTATATAATCAATCAAATTGGTTGATTCTTACTGCTATTTCCTGTGCAGTTGGAATTCTGTTCAGAAAGTCCTTGCCTACACCTATGTCTTCAAGTGTTTCACCTATTTTGTCTTCTGGTAGGTTCAACATTTCTGTGTTAATGTTTAGATCATTGATCCATTTTGATTTTAGTTTAGTACATGGTGAGAGATACGTGTCCAGCTCCAGTCTTCTGCAAATAGATAGCCAGTTATCCCAGGACAATTTGTTGAATAGGCTGTCTTTCCTCAGACATAGGATTTGGACCCATTTGTCAAAGATCAGCAGCTGAAGGTGTTTGGGGATGTTTCTGTATCCTCTATTCTGTTCTAGTGGTCCACATGTCTATTTCTGTGCCAGTATCATGCCATTTTTATCACTATTGCTTTGAAGTATAACTTGAAGTCAGATATTGTGATGCCTCCTGCTTTGCCCTTGTTGCCCAAGATGCTTTTGCTATTCTGGGTCTATTCCAGTTCCATGTGAATTTTAGGATTGATTTCTCCACTTCTATAAGAAATGCTGTCTGAAATTTTGACTATAATTGCATTGGATTTGTATAACAATTTTGAGAGTATGGCCATTTTGACAATAGTGGGTCTGCCTATCCGGGAGCAAGGGACATCTTTTCTTTTCTTTCTGCACTGGGGAGCAAGGGACATCTTTCCATTTTCTCTTTCTTTCTTTTTTTTTTTTGGTACCAGGGATCGAACTTGGGACCTTGTACTGTGAGGCAGGCGGTGGAACCACTCAGCTAAATGCCTGGTCTGTCTCTGTCTCTGTCCCCCCCCCCCCCCCGCCCTTTGTACCGGGGATTGAACTCTGGACCTTGCACTTGCGAGGCTGGCATGGCACCACTGAGCTAAATCCCAGGCCCATCTTTCTTTCTTTTTTTGACACAGGGTCTTACTATGTAATTCACGCTAGCCTTGAACTCACAGCGATTCTCCTGCCTCAGTCTCTCGAGTGCTGGGATTTTTTTTTTCTTTTTTTCTTGGTATCGGGGATTGAACTTGGGACCTTGTGCTTGTGAGGCAGGCAGTGGAACCACTGAGCTAAATCCCTGGCCCATTGAGTGCTGGGATTACAGGCATGCACCACCACTCCACGCTTTACCATTTTCTGATGTCCTCTTCAACTCCTTTTTCAAGAGTGCTGTAGTTTCCATTGTTAGGAAACTTGTTCCGTGGTTAGATCCATTTCTAGGTATTTCATTTTTCTTGATGCTATTATGAATGACATTGTTTTCATAATTTTCTTTCTCATTATATTCATTGTTGGTGTACATAAATACTATTGATTTTTGTGTGTTGATTTTGCATCCTGCTACATTGCTGAAATTGTTTATTAGTTCTAAGAGTGTTTTGGTGGAATTCTTTGGGTCTCCTGTGTAGAGTGTCATGTCATCTACAAATAATGATGATTTGACTTCTTCCTTTCTTATATGCATCTCTTTTATTTTTTTCTCTTGCCTGATTTTTTGGCTGATTTTTTGAGTACTATGTTGAAAAAAGTGGTGAATTAAGTTTTTACTCTCTTAGCATGTTACATTGGGCATTAAACTCCAAAATGAGTTTTGGAGGAGACAAACTATATTCAAACCATACTAGAGGTCACTTTTCTACAGAGAAGTGTGTAAGCCCAGCTGTGATGTTTGCTAAGGCAAATATGGAAAGGAGCTGGGTAGGTTGAGAATTGTCCTACTGTATACAAGTATTAACTTAATCCTCTGCTTTTAGAGAGGCATCTCTGTGTTCAATGTATATGGATTCTTAAAATTTATAATTCCCTTGCTTCAACATCTCTAGAAAAAACAATCTTCTAATTTCTTGCCAGCGGTAAAGGTTTAGTTTCTTTGCTGAGTAAGAAGATCTGTGGGTGTAGGAGACTAATTCCTTCTGATAGGTTTCTGTTCTGGTTTAGCCCCATCTACACGGTACCTTTACTGCTAGCCAATCCTTCTAGCTCTTCTCAAGTTTAAGTTGGATACATACTACCTCCCCACCTCTTATCCAAAAGTTATGCGTCATTGTCTAAAAGTTTTCTTGTTATTGCTCAACTGCTCACATCTCTCCTGTTGTGCTTGTCCTTGTGGTTTAAACATTTTTATAAATCCTTTACTGTCACTCTAGTGGACTTTGATAGGTAATAAAAGCAAATGTGTATGTTTAACATGGAAGTCTTGTTATAAATTTTAAAAGTATCACCCCATATATGTATGATATAAAATTTTATAAAGTTTATTTTTGACAGCATAGTAAAGAGATAGGTTTTTTAGCAATTCCTATTTCATTCAAGTAATTTCATGCTGTCCCTCTAACATTTTCCTCTGCTTTTATGTCTAAGCTTAAATTGTTGATAAATCATGAAGTTTTTCTCATGTATTGCTATTCAGGTATTTTCTTGGGTCATTATCATGCTCTAGTCTTTATTACAAATGTCATTGTTTCATGGCTTTCTCACCCAGGTTTTTCAACACAAGTTGAACTGTATGTATTTTTGGTTCAGTCACATGGCACAGTCAAACAAATGTGCCGAAGTGAGCTGACTTTTGCTTGCCAAAATACAGCACAAATAATTTATGTGATTTGATTGATGTTAAGATATCTACATAACATTGATATAATATATTGGTATAATATAAATTTGATTTCAGAGAACTTCCTCTACAATAAATTTGTCACCAGGAGAAGTGGAAGAAGAAGATGATGATGAAAACACTTGTGGGCCCTCAGGACTTTGGGAAGCATTCACTCCTTGTAATGGATGTAGGAACCTTGGCTTCCCCATGCTTGCACAGGTAAAGGTTTGCTTTTATTAAGGTACAGTAGAACTTAAAAATAATTACTTGTTTTTGTTTTTATTTTTCCTGGTACTGTGGATCGAACTCAGGACCTTGCACTTATGAGTCAGACGCGGTGCCACTGAGCTAAATCCCCGTCCTAGAACTTAAAAATAATTGCCTGTGTTTTTAAGACCAAATATTTCTCCCTCAAAAATTCAATTATCATTTATTTTGGAAATTTTCTTCAGTTAACTTGCTGTGGATGTATGTGGATATGTAAAGACATAATTTTTATTTAAAAATGTATGGTTAAGATAAAATTTGTCATGTTATGAGGTTTTTGAATATGCTATTTAAAAAAATAATAAAAGGTGATGTAAAGAGAATTACAAGGAGATATATTAGGACTGTTTAAGGGCAAGCCAGTTATATATATATATATATATTTTTTTTTTCTTAGTACAATGGGAATGTTATAGAATAATGTGAATATATTTCCTCCTGAGGATTTTAGAGTATAATCCAGAAATGAGAACAGGACACTAAAGCACTGCCTATAAGTTTGAAATCATTTTACTATTCATTAAGTCGACTTTAATTCTATCATATTAACTTCAACTTCCTGTTGTGTGTTATGGATTATAAACCCTTAGAGGAGTTGCAGAAATGAGCAAAATATTTGTTAGGAAATTTGAAGGCATAGTAAAAATCTCTGCACAAGATAAAAAAGAACTGAACACAAAAGAATATAATATTAAAAGGTTAATCACATTGAGCATGGATAGAAAAAATAGGCCAGGACAGCTAATAATTCACAGGAATTGTTCAGAAAAGTGTTACATCTCAAAATTTTTTGTTTACAACAAATATGAAGCCTTTGAGTTGTCTAAGAAACCATCATTTTCCACATGACTGCATGTCAGAATCAGAGCCACTCAGATGGCAATATTAATTTTTTTGTGGAACGCTAAATAGGTTATTCACATCAATAATAATACCTAAAAATCTCTTCATAGGACTTTTAAGGTAGTTTCTTCTTACATTTACAGAACTTTTGACAATATATCCATAAAAGTAGAAATCTAACCCTTTGATTCTCAAAATCTGTGGTCAATATCTGCACATTTCCTTGTATATAGTCAGAATAGCTGAGGGAATAAAAGAACAATATTTATATTCTCAGGTTTCATATGTCCACTTAAAATTTTTGCATATAGTATAGATTTTCCCCCCATATCTACGTGGATAAAGTGTAAAGAAAACTAACAAGCATAAATTTAATTTTATTAATATACTTATATTGCTATTTTACAATTTTGAATGTCTTTACCTATTTTTTCTTTAATAAAATTAGTGTCTTTGTAAGAATATATATTTTAACCATTGTGTTGTGTAATATAATAAAAAATAGAATTCTTGGAACAAAATAAAATATTAAGGGTTTTTACTATAATTATCAGATGCTCTGCTAATCTAAAAGTCATCAATAATATTACATCTGGTTTTTCAATACTAATATTTACATTTTAACTTTCAAATTTTATTATTTTATTAGGTTTGATAGTGACTTGGTTTTTTAAAATTAATTTTATTGGTACATTTTAGGTATACAATGTAATGACATTCATCATTGGAAATTTGCACCTTTACATAATCTAATGACTTGCTTTTGCTTTATAATTTTTTAATATTAGATTTTTATTTTTGGCTATTTTTTCATAAACACTGATATTGCTTCAATAAATTTATTACTTCCTCAGATATTTTAGGTATTTAAAAGTTTTAGTAGTTACATTTGCCACAAAATGCTTTCTGGTGTGTAGCTTTTCTTTTGTCTTTGTGTGTGTGTGTGTGTGTGTGTGTGTGCACGCGCACACACACAGTTATGTTGTGTATTTTTCTCAAGTATCAAATTCATTTAAGTTCTCAAAGTTATTTTTGTTTTAATATACAATATCTTATTTAGGATTTTTTAAAACCTAAATTACAAATGTGGCTCTATATTGATTTTCACTTATTATTATCTAGTTTTTCTAGGACTTTCCATTGAATAATAATTCATACTCTTCTCATATTTCGTCCTGTATATTCTTGATTTACTTCTGAAATCTTGATAATTTCTGCTTTCTTAAACAACGTGACTTAGTGTTGACATTATTACTTTGTGTTATACTTTGTGTTATACTCTTAGCTGACTTGAATGCTTACGTTATAAAATTTATATTTTATAATTACTATGTCCAGTTTAAAAAGTATATCTTTTGGGATTTAAAATATATGTATATTTCAGGCTGCCCTTGAACTTGAGGTCATCCTCCCCCCTCAGCCCCTGGAGTGCTGGGATTATGGGCATGCACCACCATGCCTGGGTACTGTATTCGATATAGAAATTTACTTCAGATGAAAGTCTTTTTTTTTTTACTAGATTTAATCTAACAAACCAAGGATAGGATTCTTTTACTAGCATTCATCTGTCTAAATTCTTAAAAATATCTATCTGGGATTATTACTGTTTGTGTCTCCTTTGAGGTGTGTGTGTGTATTTACCTACCATAGATGTATTTTAATTACAAATTATATTGAGAAATTTTATAGTTTTGTGATTAAATATATATGTACATAAATATTTACATATACAAAACCTGAAACATCTTTGAGCTTGTCTTATTTTTTTAGTTTACTGCTAAGGATTTTCTGGACATATGATTCAGCCATTCACAAATTGTAATTTTAGAACCTAATTCTATTATTTACTTTTAATTCACTTAATATTTTGTATATTGTTTGATTTAAAAAATTGATCAAATATCTGTTGTCTAGAATTTTAAGAAAACTGTAATCTAATAATAAGATCTGGCAGTATTGAGCATCAGGATTTATAATCAAAAACAGAATGAAACAATATGCACTGAAGAAATTTAAATTTGAAAGAGATTGATTTAGGAAAACAGTATTTATATTGAGAAGTTAGAGAAGAAATACAAAACGTGCAGTCCATTCAGTGACTAGTCCGAGACTTCAGTTGGAAAGCACACTCCTCGACTACAAAGTCAGTAAGTTCCTTCCTACAAAAAGCTTACAGTAGCATTGTTTTTAAACCTTTCAAGGGAGTCACCAGCACCAGATGAAATGTATTGAAATGAAATTGCATACCATAATAAAGTTTTTACTGTAAAAATTTGAAGAGTTTAAAAATTTTTTCATTTACAGTTATTTGCCCCAAAGTAATTTATTTTATGAATAGATGCAATTTCTCAATAATACAACCTTAGAATTTACAAAATGAAAACATCCAAGCTGCAAAATATTTTTCATATTTGGAAGCCATTTTTTCATGTTTTAAGCATTTTTGGAGACAACAAGAAATTAGTAAGCAATAAGCCTTGTGTGTATAAGCTTCATGGCAACCCATTTCCTTCCAGTCTGCTTATAGGAGTCTGGGATCAGTGCAGTTAATATAGTTCTATGTAAATTTTTATAAACCCAGATTTTAAAGATTGAAATAAATTATTTTTGCATTAATAGCTCTTACTTTAATTGAATCCGATAAATATTTACCAAATATTTTTTATATGCAAGGCATAGTACCTTCAGGATATATGAATATTATGGAAAAATATACTTAATTGGGTGCCAAATTATCCAATCATCTGGTTCCTGATGTATCATGTTTAGAATGAAAGAAAAAGTTCACTTGCAAAATTAGAACATCAATCTAATTTCCAATTTTTGTCTAGATTTTGAAGTGATCCTGTGTTCAGATCTCTGACTCTTTCTGTCTCCAAGAATACTAAAATTGGAATGAATAGGCTGAAAGATGGGCACTTTGGAGTCCATGCTTATGAACATATACAACATTTTATTCTTTCATTATGATCAGACTGAAATTGCTACAAGCAATTCCTTTCAAATTCATGAAAATTTAGATTTCTAAATGACATCAGGCAATTAAAATTCTTAGAAAATACTAAGATTTAGCATCAATAGTGATTTTATAAAATAATTTCAAAGCAGTTAAGTAAGACTTAAGTTGGACAAAAAAGTAGAAGGGCAGATGATGCAGGCTATTTTAAAAATAATGATGAAACTCAAGTTTGTTTCGCAATGCTCCTGACCATAATAATCGCTATCATTTACACAGTACCTGCTATGTGCCAGATATTTCACATGTGTCATTTTTCATTTTCCAGGTAAGCGTTTAAGGGAGGAAATAGTCAGTGCTATGACTTTTAAAAACAATTTTATCAGGCCATTTGCCTGGTGTCATTTACATTTTTCCTGATGGTTACTTTTATTCCTGGTTATATATTGTATTTTCCAAGTTTTAGACTTCTCTTTGGTTCTAGTATAGGCTCATGTCTTTGTGAGTCACTTTCAACACTTTATTTTGTCTTCTATTCATTTACTCACAATTATCAAGTTAAAGGAGGTTAAAGATAGGTCAGAGCCTGATCATAAGTTGCTGTTAGTATTATTGCTACTCCTCCTGTTTTTAGAGCGAATGTTACAGCAGAGAATTTGAGTTGATCGATTATATTGTGGTGAATGGCAGTGCTTTTCTCCACAGTCCTAGATGACACCCACTCTGCACCATGAATAGTACAGGTCTTTGAGGCTCTTTACTAAAGAGGTAATCCTGCTGGAGGGGACCAGCCGGCTTCCATCCCACTCACTCAGGTAGACTTAACTCTGCAAGGCTGAGATGAGGAGGATCTGGGTATTGAACATTTACTTGATTTTGCAATGACTTGCCCCATAGCCTCTGTGCTTGCAGTCACCATACTCATGCTGTTCTCTTGTGAATGGCTAGCAGCCCCTGTTGTATGTTTGAAATAATTCTTAGATGACAAGTACACACTTACAGCCCATTCATTAAGACATGTGGGAAGCACCTACGATGGCCATGCTGGCTGGGCTTCCTCTTGGACCTAGGAAGGCTGCTCTGGCCAGTGCTATGTTTTTCTCCTGAGTTTATAGACTTGGTTACAGTCACATTCATAGCACCTGCCATGATG